ATTTTTGGCATTGGCCATGGGTTTGTTCTTGACTCTGAGTATCTCTGTAACCCTTCTCTGACTTGTTTACCTGTTCTATTGATATACCATTTACTTGACTCTAGCTAGTTCTCGTTTTCACTGTCTCTCTGTTATCCTGGCCTAGACTTGAATTTGACAACATTCCTCTCTATTGTACATTAAACCTGGCTACTCTAATTCAGTCCAGTCTGTTACTGTAATCCTAGAATCTGTGTGTTGGTATTTCTCGTGACACACACCTTGAAGTTTGATGCCAGGTAACTTTATTTGATTGGCCCATTTAAAGTCTGGGTCCTATCCAGGACCTTATTTTGGAGTTGCTTGGCTGCATATTCTTGTTTTCTGAGGTTGGCAGGTAAGTCTGACCCTACCAAGTTTTTCTTATGCAGTAAAAATGCATATTAGACATCCTGCTTTTGTCACTGCCCATGCTGCCTTTAGTCCTCCTTGTTGATGTTCTCCAATCCTGCCCATCCCCATGTTCCCCTTGTTCATTGCACTCTGGGTCAGTTGAAATCTCTGACACACATGTACGAAATTCAACTATACACTTTAGGACCACGAATGAGTCTTGTAACAAGGTCAACAGGTTGGTGAGCAGGGATGTTGCTGATGTGTGTGTGTGATGTCTATCATAAGTCATCCTAGTATCATGGTCTACAGGGTAAAGCTGTTTTACTCATATGGGGTCCATCTCAGCTACTTGGGTCTGGACATATTTTTGTCTTCTGCTCTGGCTGCTCTATAGTCCCAGATTTAACTTAAGCTATTGTGAGTGGCAGAAAGAGAGTTTTTCTTTCCTGTGGCAAGAGTTTGCAGTGAGATGCAGAGATGGAAGATGGAAGTGCCAGCGTGTGTGTGGTTGAGCTGCTTCCCCCAACAGTAGATGGCCTGCTAGAGTGCCCTTCCAAAGCATCTCAGAAAGGAGATTGGGCTGAAGATCTACCCTGCAAACCATTAAGCCTCTGCTTGACAGAAGCAATGGGTGCTCCGCTGCAGGTATGGATAGTCTGAGGCATGCAGTTAGGGCCTCAGTGCCGCCATTTTAATAGTTATTTATTGTTAATGTCAGTTACAAATTTCATATGTCTTTTCGTTATGAATTACCTAACTGGTGACGACTTTCCTTCTAATCTATTATCCATGTGTTATTGATTCTTCCAGGGATGAATTGGTGGGTGGAGTGGTGAGTTTCGATGTGTGGAGGGTTTGGGTTGTTTATTATTATCTACATGTAAGGACAATAGGAGATCTACCCCTTATGATGTGTGAGAAGTAAGAAAAGGTCAGAAATTTGTGTGGGGGGCTGGATTTCAAGCAAGCTTTTTCATACAAACAGCTTTTAGCTACGCAATTATCACAGTAAACTATTAATATAAATTGAGTCATACTTTCTTTCCACTAGTAAACATACAGTACTTAGTGATAATGAATTAAGCATCTCACATGCGTGGCACAAAAAGTTAGTTTGTCGCTGATGGAATATTGTGAACACAAAGAAATCAGTTTTGCTGAAGAAAAGAGCACAGAAGTAACTGACATTTCGTAGAGGATCTCTCTATCAGCAGAACATAATAGTTAAATCCAGGGATTGTTATCGCAACAGTGATATACGTTCTAGAGATTATAGATTCAGGCAACAAGCACATGCCATTCAATATGTTTAAAGGTACACTCCAGTAGATAAAAGCTGAAGAGCTTTATGGGTTGAAGCACTTGTGTCACCCCCTTAAAAAAACTGAGCATATCATAAAAAGATAAAAACCCTTATTAAATGCTCATAAATACTGTGCTGGAATTTCTTTGAAATTCCAATAAAAGATAGAAGACATACAGAGTTTGTTAACTAAAGTAAGAATTCACAGTGAATTTCAAATTTAAGGCCAACGTAGCCAAACTGAAAGCATAACTGACATTGAGAATGTTTCCAGTTCGGCTATTTTTCCCTTGAATTTGAGAGTCACTTTGAATTCTCACTTATTTAACCCTGTAAGTATTTGTGTTCCAGGTTTTACTTGTCTTCAGGGTACAGGAATTGCAACAGTTGGAGACTTCAAACTGCAAACAAATCAATAACAGTAACACACTACACAATAGCATGGTGCCATCAATTACATGATGTGGTTATGGTGTCTAGATTGTCCTTTTAAATTTAGTAATGGCACAATTATACACCACAATGTGCTTAATAACAGCACAATCAGTCTAATTTACCAAAATGATTCCCCTTCAAACAGCTTAATGGTAATCATTAATACCAGGCAGAAGAGGTATGGACATATTTATTTATTTATAAAATATTTTACCAGGAAGGATACATTGAGATGTTGCTCGCTTTCAAGTATGTCCAGGGTCCTGGACATATCTAGATGGTTGGAACATATAATGTAGGTGGAGACAATTCACCTAAAAAAAGACACTCTATTTGAATTACAGTGGCATAATGCAAATATTTGCTCTGCAAGCAATACATGCATATAATAAACTCCCTAAATACATTAGTAACTTACTCCTTCATCCAGAGGCGTATTAATAAGGCATTTCCCTTAGGCGGCATTTTCCAGGGGTCGGCAAGAGTGAGGCTGGGAGCCGGAATATGACGTCATATTTCGGCTCCCAGACTCACTGTGCAGCGCGCGAGGGAGCTGAGCAGACAGCTCAGGGGAAGAGCTCCCTCGCCAGCCGCGCGCCCAGCCCATCAGCCCGACCGGCAGCCACTGGGAAGGCTGGGGGTTAAAAAAAATACATGTGTTAACGTAAGTGAGTGTGTGTGTGTCTGTTAGTGTGTGTGTCTGTTAGTGTGTGTGTGTCTGTTAGTGTGTGTGTCTGTTAGTGTGTGTGTGAGTGTGTCTGTTAGTGTGTGTCTGTTAGTGTGTGTGTGAGTGTGTCTGTTAGTGAGTGTGTCTGTTAGTGAGTATGTGTGTCTGTTAGTGTGTGTGTCTGTTAGTGAGTGTGTGTGTCTGTTAGTGAGTGTGTGTGTGTCTGACTGTTAGTGTGTTTGCCTGTGAGTGTGTGTGTCAGTGACTGTGTGTGTCAGTGACTGTGTGTGTCTGCTAGTGAGTGTGTGTGTCTGCTAGTGAGTGTGTGTGTTTGTGTGTCTGACTGTGTGTGTATGTTTGCCAGTGAGTGTGTGTGTGTCTGCTAGTGTGTGTCTGCTAGTGAGTGAGGGTGTGTCTGTGTGTGTCAGTGAGTTTGTGTTTCTGTTAGCTAGTGTATGCGTATCTGTAAGTGAGTGTGTGTGTGTGTGTGTGTATTTAGAAGGCGGGGCGGGGGGAAAGGATGGGTGGAGGTCGCGGGGAGGGTTGGGGGGTGCCTGAGTTTTGTCCTGCCTAGGGCAGCACAAAACCAGGATACACCACTGCCTTCATCCAAGCAGATATCTCACTGCCATTCTGGAGTCAAGAAGGATTTTTTCCCTAGTTTTTTGGACAATTGGAAGTGCTCCAGACTGTGTTTTTGCCTTTTGGATCAATAGCAAAAACGAATGTGAGGAAGGCTGAACTTGATGGACGCAAGTCTCTTTTCAGCTATGTAACTATGTAACGTCAACAATTTTATGTCAAGACACTGAGGCTCATATTCCTTTCTTTACTGTCCACCAATAGCAGCAGAATACAACAGTAAGAAAAAATGGTAACCATAGTGATAGGCCACACCCATACCAAGTCCCAGTATAATAGTCAGCACATGCACACACATTTCCTCTTTCTTTGCTGCTCCGATCACAGATAAGTACATGACAAATTTTCTCTCATACATACTACTATTCTCTGGTTATTTATATCATTTATTTATTGTTATTTTAGTTTCTATTGCTCCTTTGTTGATAGTTCCTTTTTTTTTGCTTTAATTTATCCAGTTGTTAAGGATTTTTTCTGTGTATTATTACATGCTTGTTTACTACTATATATTATGTTGGTTAGCTTTGAGCCCAGGGTTCCAGACCTTCCTTATGTTTTATTCTGTGTATTATTCATGCTTCTTCTGATTACTAACTTATCTCCTCATATCTTCCTCACTACCCTTTGGCTCCATTTTCTCCCTCTCTCCGTTTATTTGGCGCCCTTTTGCGCCGGTTTTCCGTTCTGTTTGGCTGTTTTTGTGAAAAAATTCTAACCAGTTCGGCAAATTCTTCACGAACACATTCTGTTCGTTTCTTTTTTCTAGCACTTAGCTTCATTCGTCTGTTTTGCCGTGTTTGACTACTCTTTATTTGAACAGTCAGTGCATTCACCTGTTCCCATTCATTCCTTTATCTATTTATCCCACTGAATTCGTCTCTTTTTTGCCGAACGTTCGGCTCTTTAACTTGACGAATTGACTGTATTTTTGGCCGCGAATCTCACGAGATTGCCCGCAGCCATTTTCTGACTTCCTGTCTCTCTGACTTTGTGCGTGTTCTCTTCCTATCTGCCGGTCTGGACCCTGGTGAGCTCCCTAACTATACCCTCATAGGTTATACTAGTTTGGGGTGATTAACTCCTGCTAGTCTCCTCTACTCTGATTTTAGCTTTATCCCATACAATTATACTGTTTATATAGTTTTTATTCTTTTGTTGGGGAATATCTCACAGCACTACCATGCCCAGATCTAAAGTGCCTGCCAACCCCTAGTCCCCTAGGTAGATGGACATGCCCTAGGTTTTGGATAACCCATCTTCCAATTCTGCTTCCCCTTCTTATGTTGGGGACCCTATGCCCCTGACTGATGAGACCCAGTCCCTGGCGCTACAGCGCTCAGTCTCTGACACCAATATGGCTGCTATGGGCTCTATGTCCTCTGTCCAGACCATCTCACAGGCCTTACTTGCACGCCCTTTGGCTGAAGAAGGACACACTTAGCGCGCCTGGCTACTGACCCTATGGGGGAGGCACCAGTAAAGGCCAAATCCAGGCACTCAAATCCCCCTGCCTCCAGAACCGACATGACTGGTGTGACTATATCCACCCATGACCGCGTGCCTATGTCATGCAAGAGAGCCTTTCCGCGCCAGGCAGAACGTGCGCGACAGTGGAAATGTGCTAGAGCACAAAAAGAGAGTGACTCCGACTCAGAAATCGGGTCTAGTGAGGAGGCTGACGCTGAGTCTGTGGATGACTCTGATGATGAATTTTGTGGGCAGAAATCTGACCCTTTTGGCCCTGCTCACTCCGTGGTGGTTGCGAGTGCCCCTAGGAGCGGCTCCCCCGCTACTGCGGGCTCCAACCTCATGGATCCGTCTGGGGAACCCATGTTTGACCCGGATGCTCTCCATCATCCGAGGTCGGCAGAATGGCTTCCAGCGGACCATGTGGCATGGTACCTTGAAAACTGGGTATGACGCCCCCTCAGTAAGGTGGCACGTTATAAACTTAGGGTGGAATGCCCGAGACCATTGTTACCTGGCAAAGTCTGTGAGACCCCTGTAGTGGACCCAAAGATGACCCAATTCCTCTCCAAAATGGGTTGGAATCCCTGCAAGGGTCTAGATTCAGCACTTAAATCGTGCCAAGATAACCATCTCGACATATTTGGCCAAACTGTTTGACCTGGCTGAAATCGCCGGAACCAAGAACCGTCAAGTTGACCCGGAGGAACTCCGTGGCTGGGTGCAGAGGGCTATTTGCATTGTGGCAGCGTAAACACTTCCCTGTCCATTGAAAGGCATAAAGCCATTCTGTTCATGATCGAACCCAGGCTGCTTTCTACTTTTGTTAATGTTTTGTTTGTTTTTACATTATGGTCCCTGAGGAAGTTCACATGTAGTGAACGAAACGTGTAGGACCTTTGGTGTTTTATATTTTAATATTGTTGGGTGTATTTTCATCCTGATAATAAAGCTGCTATATTCTTTCCAACCAGTCCTGTATTGTGTGCACATCAGTGGAACAACAGGAGGGATCACTTAGCCCCCCACTGCTATCGGGGGAGGCACCCTTGAGCGCTACTTTTCACGTAACTTTGTGAGTGCATTTCATAAACACAATTTGTTTTTTAAAATTGTATTACACTATGTATGTTTTTTGTTTTGTTCAAGATCGAACCCAAACTGGCCAACCTCGCACTCACAGAGGTGGGCAAGGATGCCCAGGGGCTTTTATTTGGGGACTCCTTTATTAAGGACGTGGGACGCTTTGTGGGTGCCTTTACAGCACTAGATAAGGCCCAATCCTCCATGAAGAGGGTGTTTCAGGGCCGGCAGATTCAGGGGTCGTCTGTCCGGCGGTTCCAATTACCATGCCCGTGGATCGGAACGAGGCTCCTACACTCAGAGAAGACCCTACCAGGAGACGAGACAACAGTCTCCTTTCTTCCCCTCTCGCGGAAGACCATGGCGTTCCAGAGGCTTCAGAGGGAACCACAGTTCCAGACGCCCTTACTGTAAGTTTACATCTACCTCATGTTTCTTCCAATATGTGTGTAGGGGGCAGACATTTTTTCCACACCTGGTCAGCTATCACCTCAGATATCTGGGTTCTGACCACAGTTCAGGGGTTTCATATCAAACTGGTCGACACTCCGTGTCATGCTCCCCCACCTCGCCCTATTTTGCTTTCAACAACCGACAGCGCCTTGATAGACGCGGAACTAACGGCCCTCCACGCAAAAGGAGCGATAGAGCTAGCCACGGTGTCCTCCACAGGGGTGATCAGCAACATTTTCCTAGTGGAAAAGAAAGGCGGACAAATGCACCCAGTTATCAACCTCCGTGCCCTAAACACCCTAGTGCGCTATCGTCACTTCAAAATGGAGGGCATCCACCCCCTGCGAGACTTACTCCTTTGGGGAGACTGGATGGCAAAGTTGGATTTGAAAGATGCCTACCTGACTGTCCCAGTGGCTGAGTCATCCAGGGACCTCTTACGTTTCCTCTGGAAAGGAGACACCTGGCGCTTCACGTGCCTCCCCTTCGGACTGTCGTTAGCCCCTTGGTGCTTCATGAAAGTGATGCGCCCCGCCATGGCTTAGCTGTGCAGTTGGGGAGTCCGGCTAATCGTCTACTTGGACGACATCCTCATCATGGCACAGGATTGTTCAGTCCTTCGGAAACATCTTCAATGGATGATGGACCTCCTCTCCCACCTGGGTTTTCTCCTCAACTGGGAAAAATCCTGCCTATCTCCTTCGCAACGCATGGACTTCCTAGGCTTCACGGTGGATTCCAAAGCACAGTCACTCAGCCTCCCTACGTCCAAGATACAGACAATCCGCAAGGAACTGCGCTGTGCTCTAACGTACACCCAGCTATCTCTGCGCCACCTGGCATGGATCATTAGCCTTCTGGCAGCATCAATCCAAGCGGTGTTCCCAGCCCCACTCCACTACCGTGCTCTCCAGTGCCTGAAGATCGAACACCTTCGCAGCGGGGCGTCCTATGTGGACATGATCTCCCTGGACTCGGAGACTCAGGACGAATTGACGTGGTGGATCCACAACCTCTCGGCTTGGAATGGTAAGGCCATCTTCGGCTCTCCACGGCTGGGGTGCCCATTGCAACGGGGTGACTACCGGGGGTCGCTGGTCAGCAGATGAATTCCGGCTCCACATCAATTTCCCTGGAACTCCTGGCGGGTTCATTCACGATCCGGAGTTTTGCGAACGGGACCGCCTGTGCATGGACAACATCTCAGCAGTCTGCTATATCAACCACATGGGTGGCACTCAATCGGCAATCCTGGCCCGCTTGGCAAAGGACTTCTGGGTCTATTGCTTGGACAGGAACCTGGTGGTCCAGGCAGAATACCTTCCCGGGCTCCACAACACTCACGCGGACTGGAGTTCATGCTATGTGTCGGACACCAGCAATTGGAAATTGGATGTGGGAGTATTCTCCGCTATATCGTCTATATGGAGTCCTTTTGCCATCGACCTCTTCGCGTCCATGCTCAATACCCAATTGCCCCGGTTCTTCAGCTGGCGCCCGGATCCAACAGCGGAGGCAGTGGACGCCTTCCTACAAGACTGGACCGGCTCACGCCTCTATGCCTTCCCCCCATTTGCCATGATCCCTCGGGTCCTGCTCCAAGTTCGCCGCCAAATGGCCGACCTGATCCTACTAATCCCATTCTAGGGGACCCAATCCTGGTTCCCACAACTCCTGGAACTGGTGGTAGATGTACCCAGACTGCTGCCATCTCTACCGAACCTCCTCCTGGACCCATCAGGCCTCCAGCATCCCCTCCTAGGACGGGTCATTACTGCTGCTCGCGTGGAGGATTTCGTGAGTCCCTGGGAAATCCAAGGGGTTTCGGACGTTATTCAATGCCTCCTGGCTGACGCATAGGCTCCTGGGACTAGACGATCATATGGGACCGCTTGGAGAGCTTGGACTGGCTGGTGCCTGGCTCGGAACTTGGATCCCGTTTCAGCACCTGTGACTGCGATCCTTCTATTCCTGACTTCATTATTTGAAACTGGTCAGGCATATCGCACGATTAATTTGTACAGATCGGCCATCTCCTTGGCTCACCAAGGATTTGACGGCTGCCCAGCAGGCCAGCATCCATTAGTGTGTCGCTTACTTAGGGGCTCATACCTTTCGAGCCCCCCTAGACCTCGTTACTCAACAACATGGGACGTTTCCTGCGTTTTGTCGCTGTTCTCCTCCTGGCCGCCTAATGCAGAGCTCTCCCTGCGACAGCTGTCTGCCAAGTTGGTCTCCCTGTTCTGTCTCATTTCATGCAAACGAATATCGGATGTTCATGACCTGGACTATGATGCTAGGTCTTTCACTCCGGACGGGGTGACGTTTAACATCTCTAGACGCACCAAGACCGCTATTCGATCGGTTTCTTATCCGAGCTTCCCTGGTACTCCGGCCCTATGTCCAGTGGCCTCCTTATGGGAATATGAACTGCAACGTCGTCTCCCCAGCTCTTTCTCTCGCTTCGCCTTCCGTTTTCCCCTGTGTCCAGTACTACATTGGCTCGCTGGGTAAAATGGGTGATGTCTCTGGCCGGCGTGGATACGTCAATCTGCCCCGAGGGGCATCGGCCACGTCTATGGTGAAATCAGGTGCACGTCTGGAAGACCTGATGAGGCTGGCCAACTGGTCCCGCAAATCAACTCTTCGTGAGTTTTACTTTTGACCTCTACCTCACGTTTTTTCTCCGGTTATTGATCAGCTTTAAACTTGCAATATGAGACTCCATGTCTTGACATAAAATTACATGATTTTGCTATTTCATGATGAAAAGTCATGATTTTATGAAAGACACGGAGGCAAGTATTGTCCCACCCTTCAATGTTATTTCACTAATTTACCACACCCGGTTGTTTATTTACCACACCCGGTTGTTTATTCTCTCCTAAAGGTTTTCCAGGGTTGGTAGGTATTCATTACGCGCTCTGGGTTTTGTATAGTTTCAGCTGTTTATTAACCTGTTAATGTTACATGATTATCCAATATGCCTATGTTGAATTATGCACACTGTGTTGCTTCTGTCTGGTTATAAAATTATGTCTTGGCATGCGCACTTTGGTTCAAGTACTGATTTAACTGTTCGGCTCCTGTCTTTTGTGTTTTCACAGGTTGATTCGATGTTGATCAAGAGTCTTCATCACTTCTCTCTCAGCTTCACCAAGTGGCCAGGAAGTTTATGGACAGTGCTGTGATTGGCCCTTCACTGTTGAAATCCTGTTTATTGATGGATCAGTCCCAGTTTCGTTATGATTCCTGATCGGAGTCCGGCTGGATTTCGGGTCGCCTGTTCTATTTGGTTTGGACTGCTTCATCGTTCCTGTTTTGTGGTTGGGTCGTATCTCCAAAGAAAGAGGAAATGTGTGGGGATGTGCTGACTATTATACTGGGACTTGGTATGGGTGTGGCCTATCACTATGGTTACCATTTTTTCTTACTGTTGTATTCTTTGCTGCTATTAGTGGACAGTAAAGAAAGGGTTAAGCAATACTCGCCTCTGTGTCTTTCATAAAATCATGACTTTTCGTCATGAAATAGCAAAACCATGTAATTGTCTCTCTGTTTTAGTTTGAGCTTTTCTACCATTGCAACAAATTCACAAATGACTTATGTGACTATTATTTGAGTCTGTGCAGCCTCTGTCCGCAGTAACATAGAATTTGACGGCAGATAAGAACCCTTCAACCCATCTAATCTCCAAATGCACTAGCAGAACTGCTTTGGTAACGTTAATTTTATCCAGCGAAACAAATATTTCAATGTGGGTGAACTGAGAATTTTTGTTGACTGATTTTTTATTTTTTTTAG